CCTCTCTTTCGGTCCTTCTTATGATACGGCACCTAATATTTAGGGTGCCGACAAAGGGACCCTAATTTTGACCACCACCCAGATGAGCTTGGAGCACTTGCTTGGCATTGGCTTTAGGGTTTAGGGGTTTTAGTATTTTGGGTTTGGGGCTTAGGGGTTTAGCCAGGATAGGAAAAAGGCTTAGTTGAACCCCGATTTCGTAATGGTTCCTTTTGGGAACAGGTCAACAAAAAGGTATTGAAGTATGGTACTCTAGAACCCAGTTTACGGTTTGCACTCAGACAAGACTCCTACTCTAGACCTAAGAGTAACCTAGGAATGAAAAGGGTGCCCTTTTGGGTTTAAAGGGGGTTATAAGGGAAGCTAAACCCTGAAAAAGGGAATAAGGGCCTACTCTGGGTCCTAGTACTTAGTACGGTCTGTAGAAACACAAGAATTCAGGGTATAGCCGGTCTCGTCATCACTGACTGCAGGGTGTACAAAGACCTATACCCTGCACCCCTTGATGTCTTGTTTTGTTTAGGGTATAGGTTTAGGTTACACCCTGTACAAGCCCGAGCCGTCAATTCATCAACCCCCGAATGTCCGATTCTACATCCGGACTGCGTTTTCCACCGTACAAGAATAGAAAAACCTGATGAAGACAGCAAAAAGCCTCAGACAACACATAAGCCATTGGAATTGACATCCTGACCTTAACAAGCCTAACACCTCCAAACACACCACAAACCAAAACACCATCGGTCACCATCGGCGAAGAAGCATATCAAGCTTCCTAAAACCCCCACACCCCACATGCCCTAAACCCAAAACCAAAATTTGCTCTTGTAGCGAGTCTGCCTCTTCATTCTGCCCATGAGCGCAATGAATACTGGCATGCAATCAAATCACTGCTCATGTACATCAAGATCCCAACTCCAGAACGGAATCTGTCGAAGTCTCAGCATCAAGCGGTTCGTCTGCATCGCCTTCGGTTGGCAATGCGCTGTGGGAAAAGGTGTGGACTTCATCCTGTGCTTGGCCTGCGCAAGACCTGTCACCTCCAGCAACTTGTCGATGTACTTCACATTCGGTTCGATTGCAAGAAGCTCTGGATGCACAAGCACATGGCAGTGCTTGAAGAATAGGGTTTATCACAAAAACCCACCAAGTAGGTTATAGCAGCTATGGTGTTCAAGACATGTGGGTAGGATCTTCCAGGCGATCGGGAAGGTCGTCGTGCTTCGTTATTGACGTCGGAAGATGCCCGCAGCTTGCGATTTAAACCTCCCCGGCGATAACTCGCCCAAAGCCCGAAATCCTAAACCTAAGCCTATACTCATTTACACCCTAAACACAAAACCCAAGACTCAATACCCGTTCATGGTCAGGAGATGCCTCGCAACCAAACACGAAACCCTAAACCTCCCACATCCTGAAACACCAAGAATAGGGCCCCAAAAAAGCACATACTGAAAAATTAGGATAGGGATATAAACCCCATTATAAGGAAGCCCAATAAGGTAGGGATATCGGTAACAAATGCTTATGCTTATGTGCTTTTTGGGTCCCTAAAAAACCAGCCCCTCCCCCTCCCGCCTCGGTAAGTGGACAGGTGGGCCCCCGCTGCAGTGGCCGCACGGAGACCAAGCAAGTGAGCCATTTGTGCCGTTGGGTTAGGGGTAAGTTTAGGGTTCGGGGTGTAGGGTTACGTTTGTTTTATGCAATGGGCCTTCTCCAGTGCAGGGTTGCGTTTAGGGTTTAGGGTCCTGGATTACAAGGTTCGAGCTCGACGGATTCTGACATTATCCACCGACGGGCCCATGCAAGTGTTCTGTTTTGATCGCTGATTCGACTTCTAACCTCATATATCGAGTCGAATTGTGAACAAGACATTAGTAATGCTGAAGACTCTATGCGGGAATGCCGTTGTTGCAACCTCGAAGTGTTAAACAAATGTGTGCTTTCAGTTTGGGTATGGGGCTTTGGATTCAGATGTCTTTTTGGTGTGGGGTTGGATTCAGATGTCTGATTGGTGTGGGGTTTCGGCTGGGTCTCTGCATGGTGCGACAGGATTCCAGATCGCATGACCCGTCCTGAATTTCAGGGCTTAGGGTTTAAGGCTCGTAGGTTTAGGCTTGTTTGCAAGGGGGCGATCAAGGCTTATAGAATTTCAGGGCTTAGGGTTTAAGGGTTTTGGGATTAGGCTTTGGCAACCGGTCTAGGGTTTCGGGGTTGAGTGGCTAGAGCTTACCTAGACCCGCAGCTTGGGCCGAGCAGGATATCGGCCTTCTCCACATCCTAAACCCTGTGGCAGTGCATTGCAAAGACAGCTGCAGAGGTAATCCAAGAGACAATCGGAAATGCCACCGAGTACCAAGTCTTGTAGATACTTTGCACAAAAAGATAGCTTCTTCCGGAATATAGGGCCCTACATTACCAGCGCAGGGTTCTGTGCTAAAGTATACCTTACTTAACCTACGAGAACTTCCTTTTATTGTAGCGGTCCTACAAATTCTATATGTTTTGGTATATTAAGAAAGCAATAATATTCAGCAATCCTCAGGCCCCATGAACCTCCACGTAGGGTCTACCTTACCTGGAGGTTCATGGGTAGTTTTACCTGGAGTTATGTCCCCAGTATGTGTTGTAATTATAGTTACTCGACTTACAATGTTACTCATGAACCCGACAAGTAATCCAGCGGGTTTCCTGAACAAGAAGTCGCCCCTAAAAGATCTAGGTTTTGAGGGTTCCATATTGTGGCTTCCGTTTCCTGAAAATATACTTCTTGGAATGGGCCGCAAGGTAGAAACCCCTAAAGTCTGCAAATGGGCTTAGGTTTTTTTAACCCGACAAACCTGAATGTCCAGACCCCTGGAGGGTAACAACACCTGCACCCGCAGATCCTAACTACACGACATAAGATTTAGCTTGTTTCAAACAAACGTCAAAAAACAGGCCCGAGGTCTAGGTATGGTAGATCAAATGTCTTTGGGAAACCCCGGCTTCAAGCCGGACTAACCCCGAAATTAGGAACTGCGGAACATGAGGACACCCCAAACCTTTAAGAACCACCGAATAGGAACCTCAGTCATAATCATGCTGGGTATTCATATTGAACTAAGTTAAAAAACAAACGCATGAACACTAAATGAGGTGATGTTACTACCTCCCTTTTCCGGCTCTCACTGCACCGCTTAACTGAGGTGAAACACGCTCCCTGGAATGCCAAGGACCTTGCGACGGTTGGCTTTCTTACGGGATCTTCATCTAGGATTCCCGAGTAGCCTAGGGTTTAGGGTTTAGGGTTTGGTATTGGGTAGTTGTAAAAGCAACCTAAAGCCACAAAAAACAAGAAAAAGGGTCAAGGGCCCACTGGGAGACCTGGTTTTATAGGGTCACGAAAAAGGTTCAGGGGTTTGGTTTTTTGGTGGTTTTAGGTTTCAGGGTTTCTGGCTCTCTTACGGGATGATCTAACAGAGGGGCAGGACTCCAGGGCACGGCATCGGGGTTTAGGGCTTAGGGTTCTCGGACGTGGTTTTATGGGCGTGTCGTTGTTGTGCCGTGCTGCCTACCTGACGGTGTCAAGACCGAAAGCTTCCGGGCGTTTAATACAGGAGCCTTAATTAATGATTAGACTCGGGTTTTGGAGCCCATTATAATGTAGTTATAATAAGGAACCCCGACATAGCATAGGCAATTATTAAGGCTCCTACAGTAGGTGCTTGAAGAAAGCTTGAAGCCCTGAAGCCACAAACTTGTCAAAAACCCATACCAACCGAAGCAGGAGTGTTTGAACACCAGTCTTGAAACCATATACAGCCTCACAACTCACTTCTGACCCCGGAGCTCCGTTGCCTTTGGAGACACCTTTGGTGGCACAAGGTTGGAGGAGGCTTCCTCTCTGCCAACATCCTGTGCCTCTTCGTCCTTAGCATGGGCACCCGGACCCTCTTCAAGGTGGATGGGATCGCCCTGGCTTTCAGAGGAGGTGTCTGGGGACCTTGGGCGCCGGTGGCGCGCAAGGGGCGGCGGCGGCGGAGCACGTGACTGTTGCCGCTGTGCCGCGACCTTAGCTTTGGCCTCCGCTCTTTCGTCCTGGTGCGCGCGGTTGCGATTGCGCGTCGCGGCAGTGCGACTTACTTGAAGGCTCATGGGACTTAGTAAGCAAAGTTATAAGTAGGTTATAATTAATTAGGATAACCCCACTTAGGGGGCTTATAACCCCAATCATAACCTACTTACTAAGTCCCATGATCCTCTAAGTATGTGCCCTAAACCACGACGACGTCTCTCTGCGAGGATTGCCTGGTACTCGGCCTCAGGGATCCTCGCTTAAACCGTCTAGGCTGAAACCCAGAGACCCCAAATGACCCCTTAATTTTGTAATTAGGGAATACACCTAGGGCCTAGGGGTCCTTTTAAAGGATCCTTTAAGGGACCTATAGGGTTTAGAGGTTAGGAGACTCTAATATCTCCTAATGAAGGAATATACCTTAAATCATATTAAGGGTCCTACCATAATTTAAGGTATATTCCTTAATTAAGGGGTATTGGAGTCTCTGGGAACCCAGACCCCAAATGACAAGATTACTGTCGGGATCCCAATACCCTCTAAGTCTTTACAGCACATTCATGACCCCAAACGCCAGTAACTACTTTGAGAAGTGAAGGCCCCAATATGTCGGAGGCCTCCAGAAGTATGATGCAGGCAGCTAGAATTTCGGATCCCTTGTATAAGGACTCTTCTTTTGGGGCCACCCCACCCAGCTTCATCCCACCCTTGGAGTCCTTTGAATATTCTACTATAGGGGCCTTCATAAATAGAATAAGGGTTTGGTGCCCACTATACTGTTGTGATAAGAAGGAACCCTAAAATAGTAATATTGAGGCCCCTGATATAGAACCCTACTGTAGATCCCTTATAAACCCCCTTTAAGAAGTCCTTTCAAGGAACCCCCCAAATAGTATAGGTAATTATTGAGGCCCCCATTCTACCCAGCCGGCGCGGACCTCTGTCAACGCTTCTCTGCCGATGTGCCCACTCCCTGCAGCAGGGCTGCTTGAGGCAGGTGTAGGGTAAGGAGTCAGGCTGAGCCAAGAAAACCGCGACACGCAACAGGGATCAGGGCTAGGGTGTATAAGGTTGTTCAGGGCTTTGAGTTCTGGTTTCAACAACCAAGCCTTCCAAAACCTCAACCCTCCAATGGCCTAGGCCCTCTCGAGAGATTGCTCGAGTTGAGGGGTTATGGCCCTTTCTTACTCACATGCAGGGCCTAAACCATAATGTAGTCGGCAATTGGAGGCAAGGTACAGCCGGAGCCTTGGCGATATAGGGGGACTTGATAAGTAGAATAGGTTTCGGGGGCCATTCTCCTGTATTTTTTTTGTGAGGAACCCCCCAACGTAGAAAATCTCCAGTTCCCAGGTTACGGTTTCTGCACGGGGTTTGCCCTTGAGTTGAGTAGCCCTAAACCTTAAACCCAGGTTAGGAGTTAGGGTGTGGCGTGTGTTGTAGGGCCTGAATCCTTCGGGGGACATTGAGCTTTAGAAGAGACGGTGAGATGTTCAACAGCTTGGGGATGTTTAAACTCTGCTGATATGGATCTCAATCCTCTTCTGGCCGTGGCGCTTTGCAACGAATTTCGGGTTTAGGTTTAGGGTTTGGGGTTTAGGGTTCGCCATCGCATCAGTGGTCAGAACATGAATAATCAGCAGTATTGCCCTAAGCCTGAAGGATCAAGAGCGCTTAGCAGGAAGGTGCTTTGCACCATGCCTCTGCTGATCTACTCACTCGTCCATCTGATTGCACCTTCTCGAACGCCCCAAAAGCACCAAAGCTCCCCGCACCTTAGTTCGAAACCAAAAAGTGAGACCCTCAGCAACCATACCCAAACTGTTGAACAGACCACCCAATTAAATTGAAAACTCACCAAGAAAACCATAGATCCTCAACCGCTATTTCTTCCCCAAACCAGACACAAGGCTGCCAGAAACCTCAGCCCAAACCCTTCAGCCTCAACGCTTCATAGATCCGACGCCCCGGATCCTCTTAACTTTAGCATTCAACAAAGCCCCCAGTACCCTAAACCCCTCCACCCCAACTACCCTAAGCTGGAAAAGACTAAGTCCGGTGGCCTGGCCCTTCGGCATTTTGCCCTTGAAGCCGTCCAGATCCTGATATCTGCGGCTTAGTTGTTTCATACAAGTCCCGAGGCCTCACCAACTAATTAGTGTAGGGCTTTTGGGGGTTTGGGGATTAGGGTACGACAGAGGAAACATCGACTAATTCGAGTATGAGTTTGAGGTCTCTCTTCGCCGCCGAGTGCAATTCCCGACCGAGACTTGAAACCTACAACATTGAATCTCCAGCACTAACAATTTCCTGAGTCTTCAAATCTGTCTTGCACAAGGGCCTTATGAACCAGAATAGGGTTTGGGGCGATATTACACTGTGACTAAAACTGTGAAGGGACCATAAGGGGATACTGTTATCATTTTCCCAAAATCTTACATTAAATCCTGCCTTAAGGCTTAACCCTGGCAAACCTGCTTTATTGGGCTCCTCATTATGAAGTCTTCGTAACAAAAGCTTCCTGAAAACAGAAAGGTAGGTTCGGGTTCTGTGTAACCCTACACCCTAAACCCTAAGCCCTAGTTGTGAAATGCACGCCTTGGACTGGTAGAAGTGCGGCGCCACCTGCTCTCAGGCAGTAAGGGGTTTAGAGTTTGGGGTTTTGTAGTCTGATATTTGGGCCTTACTGACTAGAGTAGTAGGTTGGTTTGTGTTTTTTTTGAGGGGGAGGGCTCTATACCACAACTTCAATTAGGGGCACGTTCTAGGAATACCGATACCGATTATTTGAGCATCGCTTGTAATCTACCACAAGCTGCTTTTAAGCAAAAGCCCTCCTGGCTTCTGAGCAGGGTTTAGCGTAGCGAGCCCAGGCCACATGGAAAAGGCTCTGGCTGTGGGTCGGAGGAGTTTTAGATGAAGGACTTCAAAGGATTGGCATTCGAGCTCTGAGCCCGGAACCAAACCTCTACGTACAACCAAAGCACAGAGTGGGCCCTGAACCCTTAGCCCTAACTACACTGAAGCCTGGTCCTGAACTAAACCGCAAGACCCGAGTTTCATTAGTTCAGGGTTTACGGCTTAGACTCAGTTAAACCCGTCAATCTAGGCCCTCAACTAATTCTGGAACCCTGAGCAACCCAAAAAAGAAATTTCACCGATTGAAAGCCCTGCCTCAAGGAGCCACTCCGGCTTCACTTCGATGCACTGGGGAAAAAGGTGAATGGAAGGTAGGCGAAGCTTGAACGTGCTGAATACTGTATAATTGTTGGGTTTAGGGATTCGAGTTTTCTTGGGCTTAGGTTCAGGGTTGAGAGTTTAGTTCCACGAATACAGTGCCAAGAGGAACGGGCTAGGGGTGCCTTCCGGACTTTGAAGTTGCAGTTTCAGTTTCTGGAGACATCATCCTTCAGGGCTAAAGGTTTACTTGAAGGGTCATGGGTAGTTATAAGTGGGGTTGGAGGTAAGGTAATATAACCCATATTAGGGGACTTACAACCCCACATATACCGAGCTGCCCATGAGCCTCTAAGCATCTCGAAGCTCTGTCCTCCAATCCCACGAAGCAGTAGAAGCAAGCTTAAGCCATCCCGACTGAACACTTCCAAGGACCTCGACACACCTGTGTTTTGCAAACCTTTGTATTTGGGGTTCGGGATCTGCTTGGGGTTGCGGCTTGAGACCCCGGTTTAAGAATAAGCTTTTCAATCTGCCTTGCTCTCACGGCAAAGGAGAGGTCCGAGGCAACCATGTGGGAGTTTCCGAAAATTGGGGACCATGGTAGGATCCTTATTATAAGGTCCCCCAAATACGGTACCCCTTATTCTCGGACAACTCCCATGTAAAGTAAGGGACACACACCGACACACTCAAACCACACCCCAGCTCCGGAAAGATGAGCCTCGAGCCGAAAACCACTAGACAGGGCCTTACTTAATAATCGGAATAGGGTTTGGGGCCCATTATACTATAGTTATAACGAGGAACCCACCAAAACAGTGTAGGTAATTTGTAAGGCCCTGAAGTACCGCAGTCGCGCCTGCCCTCCACCCTCAAAACCCCCAACAAAACATGCCTAAACCCGAGAAACGAAGCCCTCAACCTCAACCTCTGTACTCGGGTCTGCTATAGGGGCCTTTGTAACAATTTCCTGTACTATTGGTGGGATTCCTACAATTACCTATACTGGTTTGGTGGGTTCCTTATTACAGCTGTAGTATGATGGGCACCAAAACCCTATTCGAAATATTAAGGCCCCTGTATTACACAGAGACAGCTTGAAAGCACAGCACTTCAGGATCCGGCCGAGCGCATGAACTCCTTCGTCGTCAGGACTAACTCGTGGTAGCAGACCTGAAAATTCCAAAGATGATATCATACTGAGGGTTCCAGAATGTGTTCACAGGGTGCTATGGGAGTTTCAGAATCCTGGGGCAAGAGTTGGGCCTTGGGGGGTGTATGGTTAAGGTTGGGTTCGGTTCGGGTCGGGTCTTGTTCCCCTAGAAGCCCCGTCGCTCGCGATTCAGAACGGGTTTCTTCCCAAACCCCGAACCCAGAAGCTGAAACTCCAAGTTGCACAGTTGACTCTAACTAACAAACTAACAGGAGCCACATTGTAGGTAAAGGCTCTAAAGTCGGAAGAAACGCTACTGCTACTTATGTTACAGAACTACGGTTGATGATATAAATCCTGTATGACCCATAAGAAGGAATATACCATAGTTCTCATAGTTTAGGGTCCCGCAGGTAATGCAGGATTTATATTATCAACAGTATAACGACTCACTCACAAAGGTCCACCTGATTGTTACAAAGAAACTCCACTTGGGCTCAGACGAGCTTTGGCTGCTGCCCGAAGAGGCACGAGGTGGGATGGATCTCGACCTCTGCAACAAGCTTTAGGGTTTAGGGTTCAGGCATCTGTTGAAGATCGCAGCCTTTACAGCCAGACTATGGTTGTGCGTTTTGGGGTTTTGAGAGAAACTTCTACAACAAGGAACCCTTGGGAATGTTTTTCTGGTTATTCAGCCTACTAAAGTACTGATAGAAAAATCCTTCGAATGAGAAGATGACACATAAACCGGAATCCTAGATTCTCAACCCCTGTAGGGTTTGTGGTTGAAGAGTCGAAAATACCTGCTCCACCCCAAGATCTTATAACTCCTATAAACCCTAACAGCTCCCACACGGCCCTGAATCATTGGAATGGCTTTTGATCAGATTCTAGCTAGGTTCTACCTGCTATAGTACACGTACATCAAGGGTTGCATATTTGCCTCGAAGAACCCTCCAGGATGACTTTTGAAATTGCTCAAGCCCCCAAAACGACCCAAGTCCTCCAGGCTCGGGCCCCAAAGCCCTCATTTTGCCCATGATGCCTGCACACCCCGAGGCACACAATCCTAACTATCGTCGAAACGAAATTACCAGGGGTAGCTCATGAGTCAGACATAAATACCAAATATATATATATATATATATATATGTATATATAGATACGCATTTATTTATTGACTTATCATATTTTATACGCAAAACCTTATGTTTTTAGGTCTAGGATTCAGGGATTTTGTTGAACCGTTAACGGTCTAGGGCTTCGGGTTCGAGTGAATTACCCATAGTCTATTGTACCTCCATTTTTTGTTAACCGATCTCATATTATGGAACCCTGACCATGACACTGGGTGCAACCGTCGTTCATGGTTTAAGGCTTAGGTTTTACTACGGCTTACACATTGAAGCCCAGAGCAAGCAAATGCACAACACATGCTAGTTTTCAACCGGTATGAAACTCCATCAGTATCGTGTAAGACCAACAAATGCCAATGAAGCAGCCTAAACCCTAAACCCCTAAGCCTCGAACTCCCTAAACCCAAAACCGCCCCCTCAAAAACAAACGTGTTTGAACCAAACAACAACCTAAGGACTCGGAACACAATCTTGACCCCCAAACCTCGTGAAGTGAACGTACACTGCAAGCCCACTTAATCCTACACGGTACTTTGCGGATGATCCTAAAACGGACGACCCCTAACTTAGAGGTACTACTTATATTGATATAGCTTTTGAACCGTACACTGTTACCCTAAACCCTGAACCCCAAACCATACAAGTAACTGACTGGGCTAATTATTCGGACTAGGGCAGCTGATGAGCACCCACGACTGTAAGGTCGTGACAGTGTGCGGATGCTTCACCGTGACATAGGACCTGTGCGCACCATCAGGAACGGCTTTAGAATCAAGCTTAACGATCCGCGATCGAGAGTTCAAGGTTTGGACAAGGATTTGCGGTTCAGGTAGCGTCAGGATGTTTTGGATGCTGATGCCACAAAACTTCCTCATGCATGGGCCCTTGGATGTGCGAACGGAAGAACATAAGGCACACAGAACAGGGCCAGACTGGCACCTGAACCCAAAAGCTACATCGGAGCCCCTCGGAATGTTGATCTCAACATGATCCTGAGACATGAGGATCAGTTAAGGATCATAGGGGAGTTTCCGAAAATAGGGGACCCTAATATAGTACCCTAGATAGTAGGATCCTTATTATAAAGACCCCAAAATATGGTACCCCCTATTATTCGGAAACTCCCATATAGAGCCAGAACTGACAAAAATGGAACCCTGAGCCGGTTGCATGGGTTGATGATATAAATCCTGCATTACCTAAAGGACCCTAAACTATGGGAATTATGGTATATTCCTTATTATGGGTAATGCAGGATTTCTATCATCAACCCTGTCCGACTGGAACCCGAGAGTAGGAGTTCGGACTTCGGGCTCCGCTGGGGTTTAGGATGGCATATAGCGTGTACGAAGCATGCAGACGCCCGACCCCTACCCTATAATAGGCTATATACTGGGTATATAATAGCTATAGTAAGGGTATATACCTAGGGGTCCTTATTAAGGGTCCCTCCTTTTCATACAAAGACGGAAGGCTGAACCAGGATTATAGGGTTTGGAGTTGAAGAGAAACCACCATTTGAACTGGAGTCTTTCCATCCACTATATCCTCAGAACGCTGTCGTGTCTAGGCAGTCTTGCTCGTGCGCCCTGGTGGTGGGCTTGTGGTAACCGTATTTGAAATCATGTTCAAGCTGCTCAACAATAATGTACCTGAAAAATGCTTCGAACTCAAAGCCTAAGAGTTCGCTAAGCTCTCGAAACCTGAGAACGCGGAACACCCAATCCGCTACGCTGAACCTCCAAAGGGGCGAAGTCCAAGATCATGACACTGCTGACTGTTGTGAGTTCAGGTTCAACATTCACGTGTCCGCACAATTTCGTCAAAGTTTTCTCGCGGGGTGAGCCTAATATAGAGGCCTTAATAATTAGAATACAGCTTTGGGCCCCATTATACCATCCGTTATACTATAACTACAACAAGGACCCCCCAAAACAGTGTAGGTAATCATTTAGGCGCCTGTAGTAAACACCTCAGCAGCGAAGGTTTAACAGAACACCGTCTTAACTCCCAGAAGAGAATCAAACTACACGACCTTTCTGACAGGCGACACATGGCGACACCGTCAAATTGGTAAGGGCCTAACGCCGAACCCTAAGAATCAGGAACAAGCACAGCAACACAAGGATCCCTTGACCCCTTTACGGCGACATTGAAAAGCAACAAGCGCTGTTTGGCTCAGGATTTAAGGTTTCGGGGTTGTTGGTATTGGGTTTCGGGACTGCGATCAATCAACACTGGGCACCCTTGGGGCCCAACCCATCCTTTCGCAAGCGGGCCGTGTTGTAGAAGAAGCCGCTGAGGATAGACTTCCTCTGACCTTTCGGGGATAGAGGGCTTTGTAGGGGACTTTATATGGGGGAGTTTGGGTAGCACATGGGGGCCTTCATAATTAAATGTGCTAGATGCAAAGATCCGTCGCTCTAGAGCCCACACATACAGTAAGCCCTGCGCAATAGAACCCACTACAGAAGCCTATCGAAAACAACAAACTGACTGAAACCCAAACGACACACCAGCTAAACAGAGCACGAATGCCCAAAACTTGTGCTTTTTGCTTCGCGCAGATGAGAGTCTGAGGGTTTGAGTGTTCACGGCTAAAGCTCCACGACTTCATGACCAGCTGCAGGTAACCTGTGAGCCTCTCTGACTCCGCCATGCACAGGGGTCTTGCTAAGGATCTTAGTCATGCTTTGGGGTTAAGGTGGGGTTCAGGGTTTCTTGGCTTCGGGGGTTTACGACAGAATGCCGTTACATTGAAGACTCCAAAACCCAACTTGGGCAACCCGAAACCCTCGTTTGTTTTTGAAGGGGAGGGGTATGGGTGGTTGTCAAAATCATGGTCCCTTTTTGGGTTCCCTAAATATTAGGTGCCGTACTAGATTAGGGACCCAAAAAGGAACCATAATTTTGACAACTACCCATATAGAAGAAAAGGTAAGGGGCGCACTAGAAATAGCCTATCCACCCCAGATCGGTTTGGGGATCTAGAATCTAGGCCTGCAGAATTACAAGATGGAAGGTCTTTGATAGGTTTACAGTGTCGACTGCGCATCGGATCAAGACTCCCTATTTGGAGGTTCATGGTTCATGGGTGGTTATAAATGGGCTTATAAGTCCCCTAATATGGGTCATAGGTATAGCTACCCTACTTATAACCTCACTTATAACTTCCCATGAACCTCCAAGTAGGCACTAAACCCTATACCCTTTCAGAATCCCTATAGATCCCTTTAAAGGGACCCTTAAAGGAGCCCTCATGGCTTTGGTGCAACCAAGGCGCCGTCCAGATCTTGGACGTTAGAGGAGTGTTCTATCTCCACCTGCAGTTTTCTTGAATTAGGGTTTAGGGTTTAGGATCTCCACCTGCAGTTTCTTGGATTCGCAACTCTAGCTTCGAAATGGGAGTACGGCTTGTGGGTTTGAGATTCAGGGTTGAAGGGCTTGGTTTCCGGAGTTCAGGAAACAAGGGGGGTTCAAGTGTTGTACGCTCTGCTGTCTGCAGGCTAAAGCTTAGATTACAATCTGCACAAGCACCCCCAAATCCTAAAGCCCTTTACCTAAGCCCTATACCCTAAACCCCAAACCCTAAACCCCAAACCCTAAACCCTAAACCCCTAAACCCTAAACCTTAAACCCCTAAACCCTAAACCCTAAACCTACAAGCCCCTTTCTGCCTAACCTCCGACGCTCGTGGGGGCTTCTGCTCGTGCTCTCCGACGGTTTCCCAGGGATATAAGCTTTGACAAACCCTGTCAAGTCAAGGCCAGTAGGTTTTAGGGTTTAGGGTTTAGGGTCCTTTGTGGGGATATAGGTAGGGTGACTATACTTCTATATAGCCGGTTTCAAGGGACTTGTAATCCCACCTTTTAACTACCCATGAAACACATGAACCTCCAAGTCGGCCCTAAACCCTATACCCTTATAGAACCCCTATAGATCCCCTAAATTAAAGGGACCCTTAGAGGGGCCCTTATAACTACCCATTAGCCCGCATCTCTTAGAGGCACCTTCTCGAGCATGTCCACGAGCTGCTCCCGAATATCTCGCGCGCGCTTCAGCGACCTTCGAAGCCGAGGCGCAAGGGTTTAAGGGTTTAGGGTTTAGGTGCTTATAGACTTATAGTGTTTAGGGGTTTAGGGCTTATTATAGGGTTTAGATTTTTAGGGCTGATAGGGTTCAGGGGTTTAGGGTTTAGGGGCTAAGGTTTTTGGGTGTAGGAGCATCGGCAGAAGGGCCCTAGGAGATGGACGGTATCTCTCTCCGACCGCTTTGGGGACAGCGCACACCCTACCTGAACCTGCAAAAACCTACAGAATTTTTGTTAGGGTCCCTAGAACTTCCGTACGAAGGTTCATAATAAGAACTTACGAAAATTATTGGTTAAGTTCCATACGAGGGTTTATAATAGGAACCTACGAAAAAAATTGGTTATGGTAGCTGCCAGATCCTAAACGATCCAGAGCCCCTCCTGGAGCGTGCGATCCTTTAAAATTCTGAAGCTCTGGTTTCAGTAAACTCGAAGTCCTCGTCTGGTGGCTTAGGGTTTCGGTTTATAGGGTTTAGAGTTTAGGGTTACGGTTTTGAGTTTAGGGTATCAGTTTGGAGTTTGGGATGGTTTGGGGTTTAGGGATGGTTTAGGGTTTAGGATGGTTTAGGGTTAGGGTTTCGGGTTTATGGGAGTTTTGGCTTCTGACGTGCCTTGCAGCCTAGCGGCCTGTTCTGCAGGTAGTTCTCCATGCACCAGTTCAGGGAGTAGCCGGTCTCTTCCCACCTGGGGTGACAGCTTCGGGCTTCCAGGGCTTTTGCAGTGTCGACCCGTAGTTTTCATTGCAGCTCCTTTTCTGCTCAAAACATGCTGTTGCTAGAGGCAGAAAACATTAATTCGAATACCAAAATAGCCCAAAGCAGGAACTAGAATGGACACTATAGCCGCAGTGTTGGAAGTGGGTTAGATGACCCTCTGGACTCAAAACCATAGAATGCAAAGCTGTACCTGGACCTCCACTCGCGCTTGAGTTAGTGACTTAAGAGATATGCTAGGTGGGGCTTTTAAAGCCTTTGAAAAATATTAGTAAATAAGATCCTCTTAATCCCAATAAGGGAAAATATAAAATGTCCCAAAGCCCTACCTAGTATGGTAACCCCTGTGCTCAACAAGGGACTGCACAACAAAACTTCAGGCCTGCACTGTAGGGATGCCTCCAGATAATTTAGGGGCCTTACTAAGAAAAATATGGTTTCGGGGACCACTATACTGTAATTATAATAAGGAACCCACCAAACTAGTCTAGGTAAATATTTAAGGCCCCTATACTACGCAGGACGCCTAAACTGCAGTCCATCATTCCCCAAAGCTCCTCCTGCTGGTTCCGGCCTTCAGCGGCCCTAAAGCCCGGGGCTTAAGGGATCCGGATCCCTAAACCCTGAGCCCTAGAAACCCTGAGCCCCAAAAGGAACCTTTAGTCTTCGAGGTTGTGCTTGAGGTCTCCGATCTGTATAAAAATCTCCTGCTGCAGGGCTTTTTGAGCTTTAGCGGTCCAGCGAAAGTAACAGCAACATCCTAAACCCTAAACCCTTGGTCCTCAAGCCTGAGGCCCTCCTTGAAAGCCCAAATCTAGCTAAAACCTGATAGATCCTAAACTTTGACACTCCGAACCACGATCGCTCGACCCTGTTGGGCCCTGTACCTACAATCTCCATTGCGGTGCCTTTCTTCGGGTTACCATATGGGATCCAGCATGTCAAATTGGTTAAGCCAAAAACAGGAGCTACAATGGAGAGCACTCTAGGTGTCGATTTCAAGAGTTTCCCAAAGTTATTTTTATGGGGTCTACATTTAATACGAAACAGGGGGAACTTTTAAAACATATCCAAAATCGATACCTAATTCAGGTAGATTCAAATTCCCACTGTAGAGCCGGGAGGCTGCTTGTACACATGCAGCATCGTCATGTGGTCGCCGCCAGGCTTGTGGAAATTCTTCCGGGCATTGTCCGCATGGATGCCTGTCTTCTCGATGTCGGGTTGAAGAGGCACTTAGATGAGCTGCGGCTGACGTGTTCCCTAAACTCACTATACAACACAACATGCAACCCCAACTCCCCAACTCCAAAACCTCTAGCCTACATTGTTTGAGGCTTCGGGAGCTTCTGGCTGAAGCGTTTCCATTTTGGTGCTGTTTCTAGGCTTCGGCTCCAGATCCTAACGCAAATCTCCTGTCTCGTCTGCAAGGTATCTGAGTCGGAAGCCTCGTAAGCGCACTATCTATGCCTGTATATGTCAGTATGAACATGAGTTAAGAGACAGACAGACGAACAAATAGATAGATGGATGGACGGACGGATAGATAAATAGATAGGTAGATAGATAGAAAAGATAGATAGTTTGGCAGACAGGTAGGCAGATAGGCAGTATCCCTATATACAACGGTCTGGGTTTCAAGAGTCTCGGCTAAGGTGCTTCGTTGGGTCATCATAGCCCCCCAAAAGCACATAAGCAAAAATACGGATAGGGTTATCCCATATAAAGCCCCCCCTTAATGAAGCGCAATAAGGTAGGGATATCCCTACAAAATGCATCTTTACGTCCTTTTGGGGTCCTAATAAATAAACCGGAACGCCCTAGACCCCCTAACCCCTAAACTCATAGAGACCCTTAGGGGGGTAAGGGGGAGCGGGGTAGGGGAATATCCCATTTAGGGGTCCCTAAACTGGAATGCCCCAGACCCCTAAGCCCTCATCCCTAAACCCTCATGATCATAAAGGCCCCTTAAGGGCTCCTCTACGGCTCCCCTTCAAACCCCTAAGGCTCCCCCAAAAAACCTAACATCACCGAGACCTCAACCCTAAAACTCGAGTGGGGGATGGTCAAAGCCCACACGGGGGAAGTCCAGGGCTCAGGGCTCGTGGGGCTTTAGGGGGTTTAGGGTTTAGGGGTTTTAGGGTTTCGGGGTTTTAGGGTATAAGGGTTTAGGGTTTTGAAGTTTGGGGGTTTAGGATTTTGAGTTCAGGGTTCAAAGCTTCGGGTGCAGTAGGTTGTGAAAATGCAGGTTGGGTTGAGAGCTTTGTTGGGGGGGGTGAGGTAGGGCTGAAACTCTCTCTCTTTCTCTTTCTCAGGCTCTCGCTGCAGATGCGGAAGAGTTTAGCAAAGTCGAGGGCTCTGGCTGCAAAAATGTAATCAAGAAATTCCCTCAATCCCAAAGTCCAAAACACCCTTAAACACCAAGCCCCAAACCATAAATCCCAAAAACATACCTGGCCTTTGTCCTTGGGGCGGTAGAAGATGGCGCCGTCCACGCCTTTGCTGAGCACGGCCCTTTTCCACAGACTCTAGAGATCCTTCGAAGTTTAGGGTCTAGGGTTCCTCTAGTTAGGATTTAGGGTTCTTTCAAGACTTCTCATAGGGGCTCTTTCCCAGTAGGGGTTCCTTTGATTAAAGTATGTGTTGGAATTTGGTGTAGTGCCCTTACATGCCCTCACTGCAATTGGAAGCACGTTTGGTAGCTAAGCATTTTGGAGCGTATGTGATCCTGACCCAACAAAGAAGTTAATCCGGCAACCGGCGACACCAAAAATAAATTCAGGATTACAATCGACGAGAACCCCTGCTTAATGCAGAAGCATGCGCATTGAACATCGTTAACCGTCCTACCAGAGGCATCAGGGGCCGTGAGTACGTTGCAAACGAAACTCTTTCCAAAGCGACCATGAATGGCAGCCAAGGGCCCAAAATAGCTACCTAACTAGCTAAACTCCTAAACCCGTAAATCCTGGACTTTACATGCGAGATGCCTCAACTCCTCATAATTCGCTCACGCATGCAGAGCTAAGCATGGATCCGCATCGGGGCCTCAACAATCAGATTCGGCTTTGTTTTTTTTACATAAGTTTAAGCTACGGGGCCCTACTGGACAAAAGCGTGCCCGCGCGCCCCAAACCCTTACCCGAAGCCTCGAAAACCTGACGCCACCACTTCCGGGACTCCGAGCCAAGCATGCTACAGATCGTGACCACCTCGTCCACGCACTTGTACTTGTCTGCCTGTGCTTCGGGTTGATGACATAAATCCTGCATGACCCATAGTAAGGAATATACCATAATTCCCAAATATGTTTTATTATGGGTAATGCAGGATTTATATCATCAACCGTTGGGGTTTGGGGCGACGGCTTTAGGGTTTATGTTGGTCCCAAAAGAAGATAGCTTCAAAGTATCCCTGGACGCGTCTAACTCGGCTGACTTCAAGACCCCGCCAAATATTCAATTTCTTCGCTTCCCCTTGACACAAATTGCGCAGAACTCAAAAACCTGCGAACACCTCTGAACAAATGCTCGTACATAAGATCCTGCTTGCGGCAACAAGGGAAAGATTGAACACTATGTCCCAATGGCCCACCTCGAAAATGAAGAGTTTGGAGTTCTGAATAGCCAAGCCAACCGGGGAGGACCAGCTGGTCGAGAGTCAAGCAAACCGTAGGTTCAAACACTAGACCCTACTTGGAGGGTTATGGGTACTTAGAAGCAGTGTTTTAAATAAGGTATCTCTACTTATAAGCCCATATCAGGAGACTTTTAGTAACCCCACTTATAACCGAAGCTCGAACCTCCAAATAAACCCCGCTAGGATAAACAGGGACGACTTAAGCTTATACCCCAATAAGCCACAGAAACAAAAGCTTAAACTTTCCAAATCCTACCAAACTCTTAGAACCCAAAAAGTTTAAAGGTTACCTATAGTCTCCATTGTAGTTCCTTTTTTTGGTTTAACCCATTATAGATTAAGGATCCTATAAGGTAACCCCCAAAAAAGGAACTATAATGGAGACTATAGGTAGGTATTGGGGATCTAAGGGTTTGGGGCTCAGGGCTTCCAGCCGAGGCTTCACAGTTTAGGCCGGTTTGAGCAAATTAACTAGACCTAAGAGTAACCTAGGAATGAAAAGGGTGCCCTTTTTGGTTTAAAGGGGGTTATAAGGGAACCTAAACCCCTGAAAAAGGGAATAAGGGCCTACTCTGGGTCCTAGTTAAGTGTTCTGCAGCTACGGCTTGTTCAAGGGGGCCAAAACCCAGTGAATGACCAGCTCCGGGCACCAAACACGAAACCCAACACCCAAAACTCTAGAATCCTGTAAGCTGAGTATTCGAGCCTGATTACTTAGAACCGAGTTCGGGCGGCACTGTAGACTGTATTCAGAACAAGGACGCTTGGAATAGTCGTACTGGTCATTGTTCAAGCTTCTGGTTTATGCCCATCTGACGAACCAGAAGAATGCTGCCCCTTCACAACCTCCATTCCCTGCAAAGTAGGCTTCCAAGTCTTTGAAAGCTAACCCACAGAAGGATTCTGCATCAAGGTCTTGGCTCTAGATGAAGTATCCCAATTAAAAGCATTCTGGGATGGATTGATGCTAAGTCCATGGCAATGTGAAGCAGCCTTGCCAATCGCCGGCTCTGGCGGAAACCGAAACTCAAATCCCCCAACCCTAAACTCCAAAAACCTGAAGCCTACAACCCTACAGCCCAAAATCCACAACCCCAAGCCTGAAACCCGAAACTCCAAAACCCATAAACCCCACTGTTCGACAGTTATGAGCCTGGATCAAGGACTTCGATTGCTGTGGATCCATGGGAAACTCCGCCATGCGCCGGCCTCGGAGGTAGCTCCGAGTCTACACCACCATCACCGTCAACCAGCCAACAACAATAGCAACAGCCACGTTGACTGACCCGACCTAAAAGCATTATTTGGGTACGTCATCAACAAACTGCAGTGAAAACATAAGGAAACGGTGTCCTAGGTCCTAGTTGCTAACTTCATGAGCCCAAAGTGCTGTTGATGTGCCAACTTTCTTCTCAGCACACCTCAAAGGCGCTTCTGTCAAGAAAGTCTCCCCCGCCTTGAATGTAGGGTTTAGGGTTGAGGGAGGTAGACAGCAGGTCGGGGAGGCATATGTAGCCGCAGCACTTATCAAATTCGCCCGCTGCGATGAGGAGTAGTCGCAGAACTTCCATTCTCGTGGAGATTCGTGGGGCCTTGTACGAGTAGCTTCCTGAGCCTCGTAGCATTGTGGTGCTGCATCGGCACACATCTGGTCCGAAACACGCACCAGGAGCCTTTGTGATTACGATAGGGTTTTTGTTCAACAAACTACTGCAGCCAGACAAGCTTCTATATCACACAAACACAAATCTCAGGTCTCATCAGCCTTAAATAAAGCCTTCAGCTCGGGAACGTACACTCCCTTCCGTCGCTGGGCGCCGAAACATCCAGCCCCATATCTGAACCTGATGCTAAAGCTCCACCCCAACCCTGCAACTCTGCAAGTCAAACAAGCGCCATGAGCCCAAAACCCTAACTTACTAAACCCTTTTACACCCTAAACCCTAACTGATGAAAACCCCAAAAAACTCTAACGCCTAGCTGACGAAGCTACTTAAACCCTCGACCCGCTTAGAAACCCGCAACCTCAGCTCCCAACCGAGCTTCGTGAGGTCACCCTGGTCGTTCAGCGCCTCAGAGGGCGGCTCTCTGCCAGAGTCCTCCCTGGTTCTTGGTAATGTAGGAACTTGACTAAGTCAGCATACACCATACTGTAAACCCTCAGCACCCAAGGATCTCTGAACTAATCAATCAATCCGTCAAGCAAGGCCCTGAACTCTGAACTAACTGTAGGAACCTAACTAAGAAACCTTGGGCCTTTTTTAGGGTTCCTTATATGAATCCCAATATATTGGGGGCCATAGGCCCAGGGTTTCTTGATCAGGTTCCTACATTACGGGGGGAATGGGTCATAACAAGGACTATTTAGGCCCCTATATCACACCCCCATAATACCCCTTAAAGTAAGCCGGTTTAAGAATCCTTTAAAGGAGCCCTATCCTAATTAGGGACTACCCTAGAAATCCATTTATCCCATTCCCAACTAAGAACCTGCGGACGACATGCTCAGTTTGTGAAGCCTGGGAATTCGGCTTACGCTTTTGTAAGTATCTTCATTGGAACTGTCTTTACATCTTCCCATATCTTACCAGGCAGAGCCCGCAAACCTTATGGACACACTACCAATACGCTAAACACTGTACTCATACGCTGGGGCTAGAATGCTACGGTTTTAGGCTTTAGCGTGGCTTATTCATAAGGCTGAAGGGTCTCGGGCTGGAGTTGTCAGCGTCTAAGAACTGTCACTTAGCATCGGGTACACAGCAATGCACACTGTCTGTGTGAGCAGCCCATCAAAGGCGCTCCCCAAACTCCAAACCCTAAAACCCTTGTAATGACTGTAGTATACCGCCTCCAAGACAGTACTGTCTGCGTAAAGGCCACTGAAACCAAACCTTTAACACCCTACATAAGGCGCCGTACAGCCGCTTTAAAGCCCGTGTGCGCTCTGTTAGAACTCAATGCACCCATTTAAAAATCCTTACAGTATGCCGGCAGGAACCCCAGGACTCGTAGATAATGAACAACACCTCACCCAACAGGGCCACTGGCACTCAGCGCGTAGAGTTGCTCGAGGGCCTTCCAACATGAGGTGGCGTTTCATTCAGTGTATATATGTATATATACCTATATATCTGCTTGCACATATGTATGGATGCTTAGGAATACATGCAGGCCACTGATGGTGACTGTATGCTTTGGGTGTTTTTATGGGCGGGGGACAAGACCATCTCTGCCTGAAATGAGGAGCTGCAAGAGGGACACTGCCTTGTTGAAGCAAGGTCCCATAATGTAGTACCCTCTAGATGCCTTATAGCATCCCTTAAACGATCCCTTTAAAGGAACCCTATTCTAATTATTAAGGCCCCTATATCAACAGCCTAATTGAACAGCTTTTGAAGCCAGTTATGGGGGAAACCAAAGAGGTTTGTCTGGCGGGGCTCAGAGTAGCGGTTGGCAGTGCTTGATGTGACTCGATGTGCAGGAGATCCCAGCCATGCATTGCACCAGTCGCTCTGACGTCACCGCTATAAACCCTAAACCCTAAATCCTATGCCATAAACCCTAAATCCTAAACCCTAAACCCTAAATCCTAAACCATAAACCCTATAAATCCTAAACCCTAAACCCTAAATCCGAAACCCTAAACCCTATATCCTAAACCCTAAGCCTGATAAATTCTGAAACACTTCTGGTTCGGCTCGGGGTTCCGCCATCGACGAATCATTTCGGTCCTACATGTGGGCCGTATCGTAACCCTGAACCCTGAAACAAGCACCAGGGCTCAAGCTTATCAGCTCAACGGTTACAGGGTCTATATAATAAGGGACTGAATTGTTTTTCAAAAAAGTTATGCACTTATGAAACTTTAACTGGTTGTACGAATTACTCTAACTAAGGAATACCCCAGAGGCCCTAAGCCCCCTAAACTCAAACCCTTAACCCTGAAACCTAAACCCTAAACCCCTAAACCCTAAACTCTTAAAGCCTAAACCCTGAAACCTCACCCCCCCCCCCTTAAAGCCCCGAACCGGAGCCTTGATCAGCGTCTCTGGAGGAGGAGGATCCATGAAGTCGAAATGCAGGAGGTCATCGATGCCGATAGACTTGAGCATCAGCCTCAGCTGAAGGGTTTCAGGCTTTTAGGGTTGAGGGGTTTAGGGGTTGGGGGTTTAGGGGTTTAATTCTGGTTTAGGGTTTAGGGTTTAGGGGTTTGGGCTTTGGGTTTAGTGGTTTAAGGTTCAGGGTTTCGGGTTTAGACTTGAGCATCACCCTTATGCGAAGGGCTGAGCATGAGCCTCAGGTAGACTTGCAGGGTCTAGGCTACATGAAAAACCTGGTGTAGGCGTGATTCGAGAGTTGAGCTTCTGTCAGTATTGCGAATAAGCCCACGATGACTCCCTGCTAGGGACCTGTATTCATGGCGGAGGTGGTATCACCTTCATTAGAATCCTTTGTTCTGTCTCAATAAGGCCCTGGTCTCCTGCGTAATGTAGGAACCTGATTCTGGGCCTATGACCTCAAAATAGTAGCCTTCATATGGGTGGTTGTCAGAATTAGGGTCCCTTTTGAGGTACCCTAAATAATAGGTGCCGTATTATAATAGGTACCAAAAAGGGGCCCTAATTTTGACAACCACCCATATAAGGAACCCCATGAAAGGCCCAAGGTTTCTTAATCAGGTTCCCACATTACCCTGAAGCTCCAAGCCCAGCAGGCCCAACCCCTGCCAACCCCAAGCCCTAAACCCCCAAACTGGCCCTGCACGGATACTGGCCTAAACCCTAAAACTTAGACCCTGAAACCCTGGAAACACTGCCAATACCTGCCGCCTGGCACCGAGCAGGCGAGTGCCGCTCTTGAGGCCTTGACTTAGCTGCGGCACCGTTGCTTCCGTCGACACTCCCATCACATCCCACTTCAACCATGAGAAGGGAGGCCCTCATGTTTAGCAATTTCACGGAGCCACGCATGGTCCCTATGTGTCTCGCAAAAAAAGGACGCTTGGTTCCCCACAGCAGATCCTTTTCCTGAGCCTTTGGCGTTTGCGGCGGCGAGTTCCAAAGCCGGTTTCGCCAGACCTGCTTTGTAAAATCCTTCAGCCAGCACAGAGCCGTCGTGCGTTTCTCCGCTTACGAAGCGTTGCGAGAGCCCTCGCAGCTGGACAGCTGGATGGTGATTGCAAGCGGGGCTGATGCCGATCTTCGCACAAAATCTTCATGCCAGTCATGCAGATCATCGGGCAATGGTTCTAAGCCGCTGAGCTTCACGGCAGTGGCAGATTCGGATCCCACAATGACAGCTCCTTCCAGCCCCTTAACATTCTTTACAAGTATAGTTACCATATTTATACCGCCACTTATACCTAGCTATGCACCTGGTAGGCCCTAAACCCTACACCCTTATCAAGTAGGGCCTAACCCCAAACCCTAAACCATAAAACCCTAAACCCTATAAGCCATAAAACCCTGAAGCCCCAAACCACCAAAACTCACAAACCCAAAACAATAATGACCAACACCCAGCTAGATCTGAGGTCGCTGCACCACGTGGCCCAAGTTCGATCGCTGGATCTCCGGGGCCTTGGACCGGAGAGCGGATTTGCATCCCAGTGGGCAGTGGTCAAAATTACAGTAGAAGCCCAAAAGTTGGAAACCCGATAGCCTCGATCCTTAAGAGTAATACATTAGGGAATCCCAGCACTATTTGGCCTGAATCCGGTTTCCAACTTTAAGGAGTTTATTTAATGTAGGGTCCCTTTTTTTAAGTACCCTGAATAGTAGGTGCCGTATTATATTAGGGACCCAAAAAAGGGACCACATTTTAGACAACCACCCCAGTGATAATCTGCGTTGACAGAAACGGATTCAATGAAGAAGCCTAGACCCTAAACCCCTAAATCCTGATCCCCAAACTCCACATTTGAAGCCCTCACCAATTTTACCAGAAGCCTGGGGCTAAACCTACACAGCAACAGAGTACTGTCTCAACCGCTTCACAGAAGCATTAACAAAAGGGCAGATGGTATGTCAATGCAGGTCGTTGTTTGAACTTCGCCGGCTTCTAAGCTAAGGTTTATAAGTTCCAGACTATGTAGGGACCTCAAAGCTCTAAGAAAGGTCTTGCATACGTATGCAGCCGATACTGGGTCTGTGCAAGAATCAACCCATGAACTTCCAAGTACATGAACCCCAAATCGCTCCCTTAAGCCCCACCCAGCGGAGATCTGAAGGTACGCTTCAGGATACAGGATGTAATAATTAGAATAGGGCTCCTTTATAAGGGCACTTTAAAGGGTTCTATAAGGGATGCATAATGGGGGTTAGTAATTGCAATAGCGTTTTGGGTCCCATTTTACTGTAATTTTAAGAAGGAGCCCCCAAAATAGTACAGGTAAATATTAAGGCCCTTGTAGTAAGACTCAAGATTTGGGATGGGTATGCTTTGCCTCGGAAGTCTGGTTTCAGGTCTCAAAACTTTGAGCATCGCAGAAAATCCTGCTTTCTCTTGCCTCCTAGAGGGTTTATTGTTCAGGGCTCAGGGTTTAGATCCGTTTAGATGCTCGGAAGTTGAACTCGGACTAAGTGCCCCAGTGCACCAGCCGACGGAAAGGCAGTGCTGGACAGGCCGGCTTGTCAAGTCGGTTTAGGGTTTAGGGGTTTAGGGGTTTGTTTACGGGTTTAGGGATTTAGGGACCCTAAACCCTAAAACCCTAAACCCCTAAACTTAGGGGTTTTAGGGGTTATAGGTTTAGGGTTTACAGGGTTTAGGGTTCTCGCCATCCCAGGCGCTGAGACTCGACGGGATGGCTTTGGTTCCTGGAGCCCCGGATGGATGAATGCCGACAGCCCGAACATTGCCTACCCAGAGAGCCCAGTAACACCTTTTTAAATGAGGAATGTACCTCAAACCATTAGATTTAATCTATATAGAGCCCAATACCTCTTAATTAAGGAATATATTCCTTAATTAATTAAGAGGTATTGGGCTCCCTGGGTACATTCCTACTTAGACTGTTTGAAGCTTCCAGGGTTGAAGGGATTGCGGTTTGGGTGCAGCGCTGAGGGGGACTGTGAAACCCAGGAATCTGAGACCGTGGCGTTGTCGTCGTCCAGCTCATGCTCGTAGGACCACTTCGTGAAGAGTCGGAAGCATTTCCCAGGCTTGACCTGTTTTGTTTTATGACTCTTTCCGAACAAGCCCTGAACTGGACTCGGGTCATTAATGAAAAATGCAGCCCTATAGATCCCTTAAAGGAACCCCTTAAAGGTACCCTGATACCTGTTCTGTTTTGATTCTTTTTCAAACAACCTTAAACTGGACGGAGGGAGGGCGGCAGTTGGGGTACGGTTAGTCACATAAATCCTGCATTGCCCGCAACAGGGGATTTACCCTAATTCCCAGACTGTTGGGCCATCAAGGTACTGCAGCATTTATATCATCAACCTAAACCCTCAACCCTGAAACCCTATAGATTCCTTAACGAAACCCCTTATAAGGGTACGGCTATGGATCCCTGTAAAGGTACCCCAGCCTGAGGTTTCCTTGAATCATCCGGTGAAGGCCTCCTTTACGCGTCCCTTTAAGGCCTCCTCTAAGGGTCCCTCTAAGGGCTCCTCTAAGGGTCCTTTAAGGCCTCCTTTAAGAGCCCCTCTAAGGCTCTAAGGGCTCCTTCAAGGGAAGGCCTCTTTGCAGGGGTCCCTTAAAGGCTCCTTCAAGGGTTCCTTTGAAGGGCTCCTTTGTAAGAACGCTCCCGAAGCAAACATGCCCGGGAGAGCCCGGCCAGCACGACCTGCTCGCTGATTGGCCGAGGCCTGGCCCAAAGACCGCAGGGGCGCGGACTTAGGGCTCAGGGCTTCGAATGTAGGGCTCCTCAAAGGGATCCAAAAAGGCGTCCTTTAGAGGGATGTCTAGGGAATCGGGGCATAGCTGATAGACAACCAAGCTGGAAACATGCAACCCTCTTTATTTTCGTGGCCATCCTTCAACAAAAAAACTCGAAAGTAAGAGAGCGCTGATTAAAGTTGTAAGTTCTTAACCTGCAGCACTCCTAGCGGTGCAAGAGCTCAGACACTATATGCCTGGTCCGAAAAAAACACCAAACAGGCAGTCCTTTGCGGGCAATGTGTGTCATGTGGCCATAACAACAGACCAGGGTTTTGACGCGCATGATGGGGTGGCTCTGAGAAGGAGCCCTGACGAACAATCATGGGCCTGACCAGACCATCCAGGTGATGCGTATAGAAACTCTCTCTTGATTATCCTAAACCCTAACTCGTCCAATTGAGGGTTTAGGGCTAGGGGATTTAGTAGACCCTGGACGCCTTTAGAAAACACTTCTTTACTTCCTACTTGGAGGCTCATGGGTAGTTACAAGTGGGGTTATAAGTGCCCTAAAATGGGTTATAAGTATAGTTACCCTACTTCTAGCCCTACTTATAACTACCCATGGACCTCCAAGTACTCCAGACTCGCGATCGGTAGTTAGGGTGAAGAAGCAAGGGCTTCGCGCAGTGCCTTCGAGCAGGGCACGACGATCAAGGACCTTAAAGCAGAGGGGCCCTGAAGGGCTCCTTTCAAGGGATCCTGCAAGGCCTCCTTTAAAGGGATGTTACAAGGGCTCCTTTAAAGGGATCCTAGAAGGGGGCTAGGGGGGAAGGGGGGTAGGGTGGTATTCTTCCGTACATAGGCCTTTATGAGACTCTTGTTATTAAATGTTGGGAACTAGGTTTGGGGATCGTCATCTCCCTCTGCTGGGCTACGAAATTTGGAAAACATGGGCCATACGACTCTCTGGTGCTTCGTAGGGAATGGGGAATGGATCCCTATAGTAGCCCCTATATAATAACCTCTAATTGACTTCAAAATCCATTCCCCCATTCCCTACTAAGAAACAGACAGTACCTGTAGATACCCTAAGACCCCTTATAGGACCCTTGAAAGGAACCCTTAAAGGAACCTCATTATACCCCATACTGCTGATGGACAAAATCCTGCGCGACCCTTAGGACTCTAAGCTATGGGAATTATGGCATATTCCTTATAATGGGTAATGCAGGATTTTGTCCATCAGCAGTATATTATGGCCCCAAGAAATGAAGTAAGGTCCTCAAGCATGCTTCACTGAACTGTACGGCAGGAGTTGCTTTGCAAGGCCCGGTTCGTGAACTTGTGGATGCCATTTCACAGGGCTTTCGAATTTGAGAGGGGCCAGACCGAGGATTCATTAGGCTTTCTGAGATAATATGTTGTCGGAGTACTTAGAAAAACCTCCCCTTATCGTCCCTGCATAGCTTAGTGAACTGTGTATATATATGTATATACACATACATACATACATACATACATACAAGCCGCTCTAATTAAAGCCCTGCCCTATATTGTAGGGTTTAGGTGTCTTGGACAGACAGCCGAACACCAGTGCCGGTTATTAAAATGGCACCCTCAACCCTAAACCCCAAACCCTAAAGCTGCAACCGGACCTTTTCCTTCCTGTCGCACGCTGCCTCCGGAGGCTAAATGCCTCCTATGACCGAAAAAATCTCTGCCTTCGTAAACTCCGTGTCTGGGTCCATGCAATACTTGTATAGTAAACCCCAGAAAGTTGGAAGCCTGATTAAGGCCAAATAGTGCTGGGATTCCCTATACATTGCCCTTAAGGATTGAGGCTATGGGGTTTCCAACTTTTGGGCTTCTACTGTAGGGTGTAAGCTCCATCTCTGAAACCATGCGGAAGATCTGAAAGCACCGTGACATGTCGTGGACAGCGACTGCCATACATGCAGGACAAAATCTCAAGGTAAAACTTCAAAGCGCTGAACCCATAGTATATAGAGGCCTGAATAAATAGAATAGGGTTTTGGGGCCCACTATACTATAAATATAACAAGGCAGCCCCCAAAATCATACAGGTAATTTTTACCTAGACCCACCAAAGTAGCTAAAATAACGGCCCAAAACCTATGCAAGGCTATTATTCTACATACTTTTGAGGTCCAGGTAAGGCCCCAAACCCTAAACCCTAAACCCTAAACCCTAAGGTAAGGCCCCTATATTAAAATACATCTTCCGGAGTTGTCTTCGATGCAGAAGCTTGAGCTCGGGAGCATCATTGGCTCCTTTGAAAAGTTATAAGCAGGGGTTGTTCCGCCTTCCCCAAGGGTCCTATGTACTGTTGTGGGGGATACTTCCCTAAGGCATTAATTCCTAATATGGAAACCCTACATTCTACTATATCGGTACATAGGACCCATTGGGCTTGGAATGCTAAAACAGACCTTCTTCGCGCTTCGGGCTTACAGGGTATGGAGTTAAAAACAGTAACATCGCTGACCTCGAACTGTGATTGATCTCGACTTATGTACCTTAAAAGGTCAACCGGTGTGAACTGGCAGAAATACACCCTCTGAACCGCGCGCCTACAGAAGGTATGCTAAAGCTTTACCCTACGGCTCCAATGACCTAAGTAAGGGCTTCATTTATTGTACAATTGCTGATTCGTAACCCTTCTGCCTGAGAAGATGAGAGGTAGGGAAGGGCCAAGACATGCGCCGAAGAACCCCAACCGTCTCTGCGATGCCTAGATCGGTGATGACAACGCCATTCGGCTGAGGCTGGACATAAGCCAAGGCCCAGGTGATTGGAAACGACAAGAGAAGACGGAGGATCCTAATCCTGAACCCTGAACATGATTTGGGGGTTTCCGAAAATGGGGTACCTTATTTTGGGGTCCTTATAGTACGGATCCTACTATTTAGGGTAATTACCATCTTAGGGCCCCCTATTTTCGGAAACTCCCACATTTGTTCGCCGAAACAGTCCATATACCTTGCCCAAGGTTCATTCTTCTTGTGATTCCCTGCTCTGATTTAGAGCTTGGGTGGTTAACTCAGGATGACTCCTACACCCCGACCTGCATGGTGGTTGCGCATGGTTGCGGGCAACACAGCTCCGAGTCCCTGAGGGGCCAGAATGATTCGAGCAGGTTCGTTCCTTCATTTTTGGCTGTTCTCTCAGGGCCACGACTTAGTATAGGGGCCTCAATAGCTAGAACGGGGCTGTGAAGATATATAAAGTTGTAGTACGACAACCATACAGCGAACTTTCTAATTGGATAGTACTACCATTTCATTCCGACACCCTTGGAGCACTATAACTATAACCCTATTTCAAAACCCCGAATCAAACCCCCTAAGCCCTAAACCCTAAACTCCTGAACCCCTGAAGCCCCTAAACTCCTAAACTCTTAAACCCCCTACCTTAATCCCTATAAGGCCTTGAAATGCCCAGCTCAGCACCTGCCCCCCAACCAGCGCTGCGCGCTCATTTTTGCGCCTCCTCGCTGATCGGTACCGGGCTCGGTTTAGGGTTAAGGGTTTCTTATACGAGTAGTCCTGGAAGAGTTAATCCCCAAGACCCTAAACCCTAAATGAGGATTCTCGAAGATGGCTTGTTACGGGTTCTCTGAGGGTGATTATGGTTTTCGGGGTTTAGGGCTGCACTGCTTGGACCCTCTACACGTTTGGGCTCTAAAATTCAACTTTAACGAAATTCGTGTGAGGTAGGAACGGGCATGCTTGAGTCAGTATCAACCAGGGCTGTCAAAGCCTAACCCTTGGCTTCAAGGGTCCCTATGATGGTTTCAAGAAGGTTTGGCGGACTCTTTAACGGTTTCTATAAGGGTTTGAAGGGCACCTTTTGAAGGTTTCTATGAGGGATTCCAGGGCTCCTTCATTGGTTTTGTTTATAGCATTTAGGCCACTTGGGGCTTAGGGTTCAGCATGTTGGGCCTACTTTGCTGGAGAGTCTTCGAGTCTGACGAATAACACCTAACAGACCCAAAATTCAAACCTTACCCCTCGGACTCTATACCCGATGTAAGACCAGCAAGCCCCAAAACACACCCCAAAACCAGACAGCCCCAAACCCTAAACCCTAAACCCTAAGCCCTAAGCCCTAAACCCTAAGCCCTAAGCCCTAAGCCCTAAGCCCTAAACCCTAAGCCCTAAGCCCTAAACCCTAAACCCTAAACCCTAAACCCTAAACCCTAAGCCCTAAACCCTAAACCCTAAGCCCTAAGCCCTAAACCCTAAACCCTAAACCCTAAACCCTAAAAACCCTAAAAGCTAGCCTAAACCCTAACCCTAACCCTAACCCTAAACCCTAAACCCTAAACCCTAAACCCTAAGCCCTAAACCCTAACCCTAAACCTAGCCCCTAACCCTCCCTAAACCCTAAACCTAAACCCTAAGCCCTAACCCTAAACCCTAAGCCCTAAGCCTAAACCTAAGCCCTAAGCCCTAAACCCTAAACCCTAAACCCTAAACCCTAAACCCTAAGCCCTAAACCCTAAACCCTAAGCCCTAAGCCCTAAACCCTAAACCCTAAACCCTAAACCCTAAACCCTAAGCCCTAAACCCTAATTTCACAACGCCAACCCTCTGAGCCTTGAGGCGGCCCAGAAAGCCTGAATCCTACTTGGAGGCTCATGGGTAGCTATAAGGGTTCCTTTAAGGGTCCCTTTAAAGGGATCCATAGGGATTCTATAAGGGTATAGGGTTTAGGGCCTACTTGGAGGTTCATGGGTAGTTATGAGTAGGGTTATAAGTAGGGTAACTATACTTATAGCCCATATTTTGGGACTTATAACACCACTTACAACTACCCACCTCCCCATGAACCTCCAAGTAGACGTTTAAGGGTTTGGGGTCCGTGAGGAGTTCAAGTACTCTCTTAGTTCAATGGCGGGGTCCAGGACAGCCCAAACTTTCCAAGACAAACCAAATACTCAAGGCCAGAAAGTTTATAAATTAGGACAGCACGAAATCCTAACCCTTTCAACTCGAAGCCACAAAGGCCTGAAAACCCGAAGCCATGGGCAGAAGACCTAACCCCGAAGCTGAAGAAAACCGCGCTCCTTGACACACCCTATACATGCTTATGAGATCTGCACATGTATAGAGCCTTACAGAACCCCAACTGCGCCGTTTACCACCCTTTTGGAACCCTTCGACACCGCAGGCCCTAAACCCCGAAACTTGAACCCTAAGCCAAATGTCTTGCCTCCTTCACCAAAGCACAAGTGAACTGTTTCACCTCAATAGCCTTGTCGAGGCAGCACGGGTTCGGAGATCCAGGAGACTTACTGCGATGCCCGATGCCCCTAGATTCGACCTGATACGGGTCTAGCAAGCCCCTTTCGGGCCTAGGATTAAGTATATTCCCATACCCCAAATTATTGCCTCACCTAAGTTACCTAACAAGTCCTTGTTCCGGAGATCTGGCAGGCTTCTTAATACGAAAGGGTAGTAGAAGGGATTTACCCCTGGCTTTTTCGGTGATACTCTTGGCACAAAGATGCTAAAACCAAACGCAGCACGCATCACAAATCGGAGTGTTGAGTCCAAGGTCTCTTTGTTATAAGTCCCCATGCTGCTTACGAGTCACTGGGTCCGATCCATAAGTTTCAGACGACGCCCGAGTCACGTGGCATTCCAAACTTCAGTTCTGTGAACGGGAACAACCGAAATTTCAAACCGACAAGCC